TAAAAATGTTACAGATCACATTGTGAACTCTTAACACTATACTTTTTGGCTGAGTGTGGTGGCTCATGCCTGTAAACCCAGCACTTTAGGAGGCTGAGGCGGGAGGATAGCTGGAGCCCAGGATTTCGAGATCAGCCAGGGCACCATAGGGAGACCCTGTCTCTACTGAAAATACAAGAAATTATCCAGGTGTTGTGGCACGTGCCTGTAGCCCCTGCTACTTGGGAGGCTGAGGTGGGAGGACCTCTTAAGCCTGGGAGGTCGAGGCTGCAGTAAGACATGATCCTAGGTGACAAGAGTGAGAGCTTGTCTCAAACAAAAAAAAGTCTGTTTTTCACCAGCACATTTCAAAATTACTTTGAAAATTATTACTCTTTTTAGAGATCGGTATGTGCCAAAATTAGAAATTGGGTCCAAGAGCATCTTCATATGCATGTAAAGAAACTTAATTGAAGTTCAGTAACTTGCTCAGGCTATAAAGTAGAATTTAGGATTTGAACCCAGGTCAGAGGGCTCCAAAGCCCTTTCACTTTCCATCAAGAACATTTGATATTTTGCCAAAAATATGACTGTTTTTTTGTCCATTGCTGTTTGATATCCTTCAAACAGCTATAAAGAGGGGAGAAATGATAATTTTATAACTCAGGCTACAGCTTACAGACACACTTAATTAGCTTAGGGACAAGCAGTTGTGACATGAGTGGGAATTGCAAGGCTGAGTTGAATGTACTCACGGGGGATGTTGGTTATAAAAAAGCATTCCATTGCACATCATGGCAATCTTTGTACTGCAAAAGTAGTACTGTCCTGAGATGTTTACTATGTATTATGGAAAAATTGCTGATTTGAATCACAATTCAGCAATCCTAGAGAAGGAGAAATCTACTTTTTCTAAATTTTCGTCTACAGTGAAATTAAATGCTTTTGGAATATTTATTTGAGGAATGGGATATCACTGAAACTCGGTACACGCCATAGTGAAAATCTAGTTGCAGGTAGTTGAAGTGCAGGTATAGTTAGTATGTGGTTGATAATGACACATGTATGGCATGATTTACCTCAGTCACTGGACAGTAAGGATATGATTAAGGAAGTTTCCTCTGGAACATTTCAAGATAAGTCGGCTCTTGTGAACCACACAATATTAAACTATGCATTGTGGCCAAGTGGCTATAAGGCCAAAAGTACCTGTTTCAAACTGTGAACAATATCTTATCTGTTACAGTATTGAAATCTCCTTGTTACAGAATGTTATCACTACCCATTAAAAATAGTAAGAAATAAGAATTTCTCCTTTCCACCCTTTTGAAATCATTCCATCAAATGGTGTATTGATGAATAATGTCCTGTCTGTAAGATGGCTAAATCATGGAAAGTAACCCATTTCGATGTGGATACTCAAGATTCTCAAGAATTTGGGAGGTTGCAGTGTGAATATCAAATAAGGTGCCACTGCAGAGAATGTCTCAGAAAAGGGACAGAAAATCATATAATAGAAAAGAGAAAAGCTTTTTTCCCATGATAGATAGACTCTCTAAATAATTATTTTAGAGACAGACATAAGAAATTAATTTATTGGTTCATTGAAGAAACATCCTGAGTCCCTCTGACATATTAGGCATTGTGCTGGTGGGAGCAAGGGTTGGGTGAATAGTGGTATGTGAAGATGAAATGATGCATCAGACATGGTCCCTGTCCTCAAAGAACTTTCCAGAAGGGTAAAACTGGAAAAACGCTGCTGGGACAGAGTGGGCATCTAAGCTGACTTAGGCAAGGATGTCTTGTCTTACTTATATCTGTGCAATAATATCCTTAAACTAGAAATACAATCAGATGTTTAATTCTGACAGTGAGGAATACTTTTGGTTACATATTAAGGAATATGTTAATCCCTAAATAGTATGCTGTTTATTTCATCTTACTTTTTCGTCTTTCTAAACAAATGTTTAACAATTTAGGTAGCATCTTAGCAGGGCATCACTAGAGAAATAAAATGAAGCATTTGAAGTAAATATATTTTACAGGTCATTTGGAATTGTTTAAAAACTTCATTAACTTTTAATGAACTAAAAATGTAGTTCATTGGAATTAAATGTTCCATATGAATATATTTATTTTGGAAACTACATGACTAAACCAGTGGTAAGTTGAAGTTAAAAAGTGACCCCAAGACAGGAACAACGTCGTGCTATTATCATTATAACCCATATATTTTTAGTTATGACCATGCAGAGTGGTGTATACAGCAAATAACTAGGTAAAGTTTATAGGAATTTTAATTTTATTTCTCGTCTTTCAATTCTAATGTATGGGCCAATTCATCATTTTTAATACAGAGCCTAGAGGGAAAATGCATAAGTGTACTTTTCTGTATGATCACTAGATGGCGACATGCTTCTCTTAGAATGAAGCTGCTCAGGAATTTGCAAGTGCAATTCTGAGTATTTCACATAGAAGCCTGGAAGATGAAAGATGAGACAATTATATTTCCCATAAGGTTTTGATTCATTAATATCATAAAAGCAACAATTAGCACATGTTACTTTGCATTCAAAAAAGGAGAGTAAGGATTGGGTGTGTAAACAGTATATTGAAATAATCATTGCTGAGGACCAAAGTGAAGTATGTATACCTCTAGGGGGTAATTCAAAAGGTCTCTTTGACGTTCCAAAAACATATTAGTAACAAGGAAACATCTTTTACTTGCTTGGAAAACTGGGTCCTAGTCAGTGAGCTATGTCGTAAGAGAGTGGAAATACTGGCAAATGTCATAAAGTTTACAGAGTCATTTTCTGCAAACCAGTAGAAGATAAATTTCATTCCACCCAGTCTTAGGCACACAGTTGGACCATTTACTGTTCCATCAAAAAAAAAAGCATTGGCAGATCCCCAAAAGCACAAGGATGTATATAGAGTGTCCATTTAACCTTCCTGATTAAAGATATATACTCACGAAGGTGGAGTGGAAGACTTCTTTATAGGAGTATGATTCATGTTTATAAAATTGTAGACACTTAGAAAGTTGAGTTAAAAGTGACTCAAAGGACATCTTTATATTGCCCTTTTTTATAGATGGAAAAACATGGATGTAGCTGTTTCATACAATAAAGCATTAATGCATCAAAACACATTTGTGGGACATTTTGTTATGATTTCAGAGCTGTTTGTCAATAAATGTGTATGTTCAATGGTTACAATTTGGGATGGTGAGACATCAGCTCAGAATAGTAACATCCTTCCCTTTCTCTTTTTCATACGACTTTAAACCTGGATGCAATATTAGGACATCGTATGGTCATTTTCTCTGTGTAGCGATTACATCCTAGATAAATTAATTTGTGATCCTCTCTGGACTTTTTGTATTACATCAAGTTGAGAATTCCTTTTGTGGATTTGGAAACAAAAAATCTGCAGTAATGAAAATGAAAAGAGATTATACAAAAATAATTACTGATAACCATGTTTTTTAAGTGGTGAATATAATTGAGTGTTGGTATTTTATGAATAAGTGCATCAATTCAGTTATAATGTAACCAAACATCTAGAAATTTGAGGGGGAATTTCAGGCTACTATCACATTTCAGAACCTAATTTTTCTTCTTTGGTTCATTGACTGCGTTGAATCTTTGTTTTGTGGGTGGTGTAAACTTTTATTTTATTCTTTCCTCTAGGAGTGGCTCTGGGGAATCATTAGGTAAATGATTGTTGGTTTTTCATAATCATTATCTCTGATCCCTAACAGTTTGGGCCCCTCTTCACTTCCTCCAGCTTTAGGCAGGAGTTCAGAATGGCTTCCAGTTGGAAAAAGAAGTATAAATCCAACTTACCATCTAGTCTGTCTGTGCGGTCTTGGCAAATTTTTTAATCCTGGCTAGGCATGCTATTACTGGTAGAAATGAAGTTCTGCCTCAGCTTGAGCTCCAGCCTCGCCGTTAGCCTGAAGATCTTCCAAGATTTAGGAAGGGTCCATGAATATGTGAAATACCTTATCTTCAAGGGTGTGCTATGGAGTTATCAAGCAGCTCAGATCTTTAAAAACTCTTGAGTTTAGGAATAATACATTTTAATGTCATTTCTCCTAGAAAATGAAGATTTTAATTCTTTAGAAAAAAATCTAGGGACAAGGAATTCTAGCATTTGCTAAATTTTTCATCACAAGTAGTGCTTTTTATTTTTTTTTTTTTAAAGGGTTTCTTTTCTTTTCCTTTGTTTTTTTTTCTTTTTTTTTTTTTTTTTTTTTTTTTTTTGGAGACTGGGTCTCTGTTTGTCACCCAGTGGTGTGATCATGGCTTCTGCAGCCTTGACTTGCTGGACTCAAGGGATCCTCCCACCTCAGCCTCTCAAATAGCTGGGACTACAGGTGTACGCCACCACACCTGTCTAAGTTTTGTATTTTTTATAGAGTACGGGTTTTGCCATCTTGCCCAGTCTGGTCTCAAATTCCTGGGTTCAAGAGTGCTTCTTCTTCAATCTCCCAAAGTGTTGGGATTACAGGTGTGAGCCACCACGCCTGGCTGTAAAATTTTATTATATTTCTAATATGAAGAAATACTTGGTTTCTGTCTATTGTTTAGAAAGATACCTAATTATAATATTATCTTCTTTATTAACTCTTATGTGATACTTTGTATTTTCATCACGTGCCATTCACTCCAAGCTTATTTCTATAATTAGAAAGGAATCAAGCTAGCCAAACAAGAGTTATCCTTCCTCAAGGTAGAGAAATTACTGTTGTTTTTTATTTTTATTTTTTTCAAATGGCAATCTGCCTGCCTGGGTTGCTGTTGGATCTCTGATGATTTCTTCCTTTGATCCCCTTACTCAAATCAGGTGATCAAAGCTATGCTGTAAGTGGTAATCAGATGGAAACCTGATCTAATTTCTACTTTGCCTCTTCGATTGATAACAGGACCTGAACCAGGATAGAAACGCTAACACTATTTGACTCTGCTGTAGTTCCCAGTCTAAATAACCAGAACTCATACCTCACTCTACTCTGTCTGTGGAAACACTCTGTAATGTGTGTTGAAAGTGTATGGGTGTATGTAGTGTGTAGGTGCATTAAAATTCTCATTAGCTTGGGCTGGTTGTAATAGTGCACACCTGTTGTCCAAACTACTTGGGGGGGCTGAAGCAGGAGGATCATTTGAACCCAGAGTTCAAGGCCAGCCTGGGTAACATAGTGAGCCCCCATCTGTAAAAAAATAAACATATAAAATAAAAATAAAAATTCTCATAAGAATAATAATTAAAGGAGGTATGCTGATCATTGCCATAATTAAAATATTATGAGTTTTTCCCACTTTATTATAGTTATATTGCTCTCAAAAAATTTAAAAACTAGTATATGTTTGACATATACAGGTTGGATATCTCTTATCCTAAATGCCTGGGACCAGAAGTGTTTCAACTTTTGAATTTTTTTGGATTTTGGAATATATGCATACACATAGTGAGATAACTTGGGCATAAGACCTGCATCTAAACACAAAATTTATTTATGTTTCATATATACCTTATAAACATAGGCTGAAAATAATTGTATACAATATTTTAAAATAATATTAAAATAATATTTTACATGAAACAGTTTTGGCTGTGTTTTGACTGTGACTTGTCACATGAGGTCAGTTGTGGAATTTTCCACCTGTCGCACTACGTCAGTACACAAAAAGCTTTGGATTGTGGAACATTTTGCAGTTTGGATTTTCAGATTAATGATGTTTAACCTTCCTTTTGAAATAATGGAATCCTTTAATAATAACAAGGCAATAAGACTAATAGATGACACGAGTACTGGTGTGTCAGGCACTACTCTAAACATTCTATGTGTATTAAGCCAATTAATCTTCACAACAACCCTGAATTAGATGCACAATTTTTCCATATTTTAGAGGAGAAAATTGAGAAATAGGTAATCTAGTCTGTACCCTTTTCCATCATGCTGTGTTACATTCCCTCAGTGCTCCCATTGCCTCTTCCAAATTCATTCATAGGGGTGTGGTGGCCAGAGTCAGTGGAGGGGAGCATTAATTAATTTTGCATAATGTGAAAATGAAACTTAACAAACTTTCAAGGAATAGACAATATGCAGTGTTATGGATTGATAACTCTACAATTAAGGGGTTAAATGAAATAATACCCAAAATGCTATGTTTTAAATGGCGGCACTGACTGATAAAATATAGATTTGAGTTATTTAATGTTTCCACAATTCTGAAGTGAAAAAGGAAGAAAATAGAAATAAAATGCTGGACTATGGGAAGGGTCTTTAGTCTTACAAAAAGTAAAAAGTAGAAATAAAAGAAAAACATTTTATGGTTCGTATTGTAACATCAAAATATGGAATGAAAATTATGTTCTTCCATGAAATATTTCAAGTGCTGAAAGGGAATCTCCTAGACTAGAACTCTCAGCAAGTCCATGTTTCTTACTGTGTCTAGCATGCCATAGCAAAGCTCCAGAATTAGTTAAATTTTAATAATTTCATGGAGAAAACTAGTTTTTCAGGGGGCAGCTAGTTAACTTCAGCGTGAGGCAAAGAGCAATTCATCTTAATATTTATGAGAATATTTATTTTGAATTATACATTTATTTATTTATTTACATTAGAATAAAGGAAACTCAGGCCGGTGTGGTAGCTCCCTCACTCCTGTAATCCCAGCACTTTGGGAAGCCGAGGTGGGTGGATCACCTGAGGTCAGGAGTTTGAGAACAGTCTGACCAACATGGAGAAACCCTGACTCTACTAAAAAAAACAAAATTAGCCTGGTGTGGTGGCAGGCGTCTGTAATCCCACTACTCGGGAGGCCGAAGCAGGAGAATCTCTTGAACCCGGGAGTTGTGGAGGTTGCGGTGAGCTGAGATCGTGCCATTGCACTCCAGCCTGGGTAACAAGAGGGAAACTCTGTCTAAAGAAGAAAAAAGAAGAAAGGGAACTAGCCATATGATCATATGACAACCAAAGCCTTTTATTTTTTTCATACCTTAATTGAATGTGTCAAGCAGTTTGTGAGTCTGTCCTCCAAATACGCATGTATATTCCAAAGAAACCTGTGACCCTCATTTGGCCTGTTTTTATGTCAGTGAACTAATTATTTCTTCTTCTTTTTTTGTTGAGACGGGGTCTTACTCTGTTCCCCAGGCTGCAGTGCAGTGGTGCAGTCATGGCTTACTGCAGCTCCAAACTCCTGGACTCAAGTGATCTGCCTCCCTCAGCTTCTAAGTAGCTGGGACTTCAGGCATGTGCCACCATGCCTAGCTAATGTTTTAAACTTTGTAGAGAAAAGATCTCACTATGTTGCTCAGGCTTGTCTTGAACTCTTGAACTCAACCAATCCTCCTAGTCTTGGCTCCCAAAGTTCTGGGGTTACAGGCATGAGCCACCATACCTGGTAACTAATTCCAAAAGAAAAGTCATAGTATTGACCATTACAGTGATAAAAATGAGTGGAATCCCAGGAGGAAGCCTCATATGCATGCGGTGAATATATAACAGTAAAGAAGATGATCATGGTCATGCTTTTTATTGTGCATAGGATGTTAGCTTTTACTCTTGCTTTTACATATTCATCTCATTTAAAATTTTTGCTGATTTTAATTATTCTATGATAGATATGACAGAGGCAGGGAAAGTATTATCCTCCTCCCCCTTACTCCCAATTACAGAGGAGTACCTGGATCCCACAGAATTGACCTATTTCCTCAATATCAGTTAGTAAACGTCAGGGACTTGAACTGCTATTGTCATTATGTTCAGTCTTAAGGACACACTCTCAACACTTTAAGGTTTAAAAATGGATATGATTTCCACAGAAGTATAAACAGAACAAGACAGAGGAAAGAATATTGGACAAAGGTACAAAAACAGGAAGCATGATACAATTTGGGGAAAATATCAGTGAACTGGTAAGCTCAAGTACAGGATGAAGACAATTAGTAGGCAGATGATGGAATGCCGCAGGAAGATCCATCTGGAATGGCTTCATGGGAACATAGACTCGGTGTGTGATCCAAGAAATATTAAGACTAGTAGGTTAGACTTGGCAGGGGAGAGTCTAACCCGCTAGTCTTAAAATTTCTTAATGTGGAGCTAAGTTTGGTGACCATAGAAATGGAAAGACTCAGGGACAGATACTACAGAAATTTCAAAGACAATGATGCCATATTACACAAACATAAGGTGGTTGAAAAGAGTGACACATCTAAGATGATGCTCAGGTTCAGGTCTGAATGACTGGGAGAAAAATGAGCCAGGAACAGAAATAGGGAAATCATGAGAAGATGCTAAATTGGGAGAAGATGCTGGGTGTGATTTGTGGAGTTTGAGCATAAGCAGACCATGCAAGTAGTTATGTCTAACTTGGAAGCAACGTGGTAGTGTGCACCTGTAGTTCCCACTATTCTGGAGGCTGAGGTGGGAGGCTCAATTGAGCCCAGGAGGTCAAGGCTGTAGTGAGCCGTGATTGCACCACTGCATTCTAGCCTGAGCAATAGAGTGAGACTGTCTCAAAAAATAAAATAATATTTTCTGAACCGCTCCTCACTAAAAAAAAATTTCTAGCAGGGAAGCAGGATAAACCTATTGAAAATTCTCAGGCTGACAATATGTATGCTGCTAAACAGACTTCAGTTGGTGAATCAAATTTTTGAGTTAGATGTGAAATAATATTGAAATGTAAGATTCACCCACATTGTCCATTTCATAGAATTACTCTGTTTTTGTTGTTCGTTTTGACATTTCCTAAGTTGTCACTTGACCCAGACAGACACATTATTCATCTGCATAGCACCTAGGTTCTGCCTTTTATGTGTTGACAATATGCAATGAAGCTTAGTGCTGCAATCAGAAAGAGGGTGCTGCTGTCTATCATGTGAAATACGAGCTTGAGTATTAATGAGGAAATGCAGATTTTACTCTGACATCAAGGCTGGCCAACAGCATCTGTCATGCCCCCAACACAGTCATGCTAATTATAAGCCATCACTTTCATTCTTCTTGGAATTCAGAAGTCAGGAGGGTTGTGAGGGCAAATTCCTAACGGGTTGTGGAATCTATCATTGCGAGAACCTTTTACAATTCAGTTGCTTACTCTTTTTAAAATCTGCCATTCAGCAGTCTTTTTCAGTACCAGTAAGCCATGCTATGCATTCCTATGAATAAAGTGCACAGCAACAGCATCCAAATGCAGTGACAGAACTGTTTGGTTTTTCCTTGGAATAGCTTTTAAAAACCTGCTTCGCAGGGACCCTTTATTGCTTGCTGAAAAATTCTAAAATATTTGGGACTATGTTTAATAAATTACCAAGAACTATATAGAATTCCTTAGACCCTTTTTTAAAATAAAATTTTGGAGATTTTTTTTTTGTTTGTTGTTACTATTATTTTTAGAGAAATGCATTAAATTATCTTCAGATCCCAGGAATGGTAGAATTAATCTTTTTGGCACTGATAGTAGCTTAGGTCATGTCTTAGCCCGTTTGGACTATTATAACAAAATATCATAAACTGTGTAGCATGGCTGGGCATGGTGGCTCACGCCTGTAATCCCAGCACTTTGGGAGGCTGAGATGGGTGGATCATCTGAGGTCAGGAGTTCGAGACCAGCCTGGGCAACATGGCAAAATCCCATCCCTACTAAAAATAGAAAAATTAGCTGGGCATGGTGGTGCATTCCTGTAATCCCAGCTACTTGGGAGGCTGAGACAGGAGAATCGTTTGAACCCAGGAGGCAGTGCTTGCAGTGAGCAGAGATTCTCTCTCTGCACTCCAGCCTGAGTGACAGAGACTCTGTCTCAAAAACAAACAAGCAAAAAACTGGGTAGCTTATAAACAATCGAATTTTATTTCTTACAGTGCTGGAAGACTTTTCTCACAGTCCAAAATCAGCAAGCTACAAATTTGGTTTCTGGTGAGGGCCAGCTTTCTGGTTTGTTAATGGTGTCTTGCTGTGTCCTCACTTGGAAGAAGGGGCAAGGGAACTCTCTGGGGCCTCTTTTTACACGCATTAATCCCAGTCACAAGGCTGGAGGCCTAATGACCTAATTACCTCCCAAAGGCCCTGCCTCCTAACACTATTGCATTGGTGATTAGGTTTCAACGTATGAATTTTGGGAGGGTGCCAACGTTCAGATCATAGCAGGTCATTTCAGCTTATTTGTACTCTTTAAGTTATGCTACTATAATTGTTTGCTTCTATATATAGGCAATATGAAAACTAACCAATCATAAGATTTTGGTAGAGGACCTGAGGAGGAATTATTCTGAATGTGATAAAGTTATGATCTTTTTCCTTAGTTGTATTAGATCACTTTTTGGATAGAAGTGTTATGTTGGGAAAAATAAGTGGTTCAGTGACCTGAGGCAGAAAAAGTCTGTTCACAGGAATGTAGGATAATTACTCCATCAACTCAAGAGTTGTTTGGAATGTCAGCATCAATAACAGACCTCAGAACATTGTAACGTTACTCCAGCAACTACGCTAACATAAAGCAGAGAAGTCTGTCCATTAATATTGGTGACAAGGTCATGGTTGCTTTTAAATTTGACTTGCCAAAATACCTGGAGGGAACTGAATGTGCATACTCAAGTTTCTGCTGTGGCAAATTTACTGTTGCTACCCCAGGGGACCCTGTGAAGACAATCAGTTTATGTCTGACTGGAGGCATTTCACCTTTATTTGTATGAACTATTTGGGTCAAATTTCAGGGGGCATGTCACTCTAGAGGGGCAAAGGGTCACGATAATGAAAAGAATCATTACCTTAAATTGGTAATTAGATGTATGAATCCACAAACTTGTTTTTCCTTGGGTGTTAGTAATATTCTTTCTGGAGATAGATGGCATTTTTAAACAGTTCTATCCACAGAAAACTGGACATATCTAAAGATAATGATAATGAGGGGAATATATTCATTGTAATCTGGCATATAGAATTTTCTCTGCCATTTAAGAAGCTGGATTTCTTTTAAGTATAGAAAGGTTAGATTTTTCAACCTTATTTGCAGATATTATTTATGTTTTTCATTTTTCCCCTGTATCCTTAAATATTTTCTGAGATTTAGGCACTGAGCTCTATGCTAGAAATTTTCAAAAAAAAATTTTTTTTTAAATAAGAAAACCTCTTTTTATGAAGGAATTTTTCACAAAACTCCAATGTATAAAACAGATAAAATTGAAACTATTATGGCAGGAATGAGTCTGAGATTTGCATATTCATCTTTCTTTCTTCTTTCTCTTCTCTGCTAAAGTTTTTACACACAAGACAAGCAGTTTATGAATCAACTGTTGACTACTTCTGAAACCTAAAATGAAGTAATATATATGAAAGCTGTTATTAAGTGATTTATACTTACCAAAATATACTTGTCAAAATATATAACTGATATGTGCTTGTTGTCAAAATAAATATATTCCTACATAGCACCTTGGTCAATCACAGATCTAGTTGTCTTGTATGTGCCTAGACCAAAATGACAGTTTGATGATATGGCTTGAGATATTTATATTGCTCTCACCATAAAACGTCTTTATTTACTGATTAATCTTTGAGGAGGAGGAAATGAAGGGGTAAGAAAGCATATATGAAGTTCTACAGCATTTGTATACATCCATCTTTGGGAACTTAGTAAGTGAGCAAAAAAGAATAAAATGTTGATATTAGCATGAAAACTCTCACTGACTCTCTAAATTTTTTGTCAATATTAGGCCTTTTTTTAAAGTCAATCAGAATGAAGAAAGTACTTTTAAAAATAGGCAAATGTTGGTTACATTGGCTTCAATTTTTTTTAAAAAGTGCTACGTTCTCTTCAGAATGTGAAGGAGGTTGAAAAGGAGGCATTTCCTGCATGTATTTTGAGATGAGAGGAGGGTAAGAAAAGGAGTAGAGCTGAATATTGTTATCCTGTTAACCTTTGTCAGGCACATCAGGCTTTATATGGTTCAGATTTCTGCTGTATATTTTGATACTTTCTGTCTCCATAACAGTTGCTAAGTAATATATCCCAATAATGACACCGAAAATGCAATGAATTTATAAATAGATCCTCCTGTTGCAGAGATTCCATTATTTAGAAAATTATATGGGGTTCTGTGGGAAGTTAAATTTACAGTAAAATAGTTCATTTGCTTAGAAAAAATAAATTTTATTATTTTAAAGTCGAATAAATTATTAGAAACATCACAGTATAACCAAGGAAGCACCCGACAGACTACATAAAATGATTATTCAATATTTGTTTCATATGGTAAAGAAAAACTTAAAATTGATTTTCTATTTGAAAAATAGCAGAAATAAGTGAGTTCAGTAATTTCTAAATCTTGTTTTCTATGTAGGTGATTAAGAAATAATTAATTTTGTTCTAGAAGTATTAAGGAGACAAATTGCAAAGTTTAATACAAAGCCTTGGCTCACAATGAATACTTTCTTTAAACTTAGAATATACTAAACTGGAATAATATTTTCCAACTTAAAATGTAACCATTTTTTTTAAATGTGTTTGTGTATGCATCTCCTTTGTAAAATGTTTGAGTAAAATTAGAAATAGCTGGAATTTACTATTTTGAAAGGAAGAAAATTAATAAGTAGCAGAAGTAAATATTATCTTTCTAAAATCTAGGAATCTCTCTCACCCAATCTCATCTTCAGTATTTACCCCATTATTTCACATATGAAACATTAAAAAATTAAAATATAAAAGAATGAATATGTGATTGTTTAAATTATTTTCATTGAGGATAGTTTGCCCATTTTCTTAGAAACAATTAAAAGGAGAGGATAAGGTGGTTTCCTTAACATAATGCTTGTCTGTCCAATTTATGCTAATTGTTTTAAGAATGGCAACCTAAATGTACAAATGGTGTTTAATTCTCATGAGATTTCATTTTCAACCTTGCTTTAGAGTAAACTTTATGAGTAATAAGATTATATGTGTGGGAAACTGAAACTAAAAGCATTCAAATTGTTTTGACAAACAACAGACACTGAAGGTCAGTGCAACTAAGGCTACAGATAATCACTCCAACTGCTCCATTGTCAGCAACAACCAGGCCCAGACGTTGCAGTATACCTTGCTCGTTCTTCTAAATTGTGGCCATTGACAAATAAGGTTTTCAAAGAGAAGTCTGAATTCCTTAGGGTTTAGCCTGAGATTGTGTAAGTTTCTTTCCAGCCAAAGTATTTTCTTGTTTTCCTGTCAATTCAATGGGTCGAACCATTCCATCCATTAGAAGAAAGTAGAGAAAATGGCTCAGCCTTCCACAGATTACAGGTGGTTGGAACTCTGAGGAGGGAACTGTGGCCGAGGGAAAAAGAGCAAGAGGCTGGGGGAAGCACTCAATGCTTCTTAAGGCCTTTGATCTGAAATGACAGACTGTCACCTCCACTCACATTCCGTTAGCCTAAGCAAGTTAGTGGCTAACTAGACAGTGGGTCTCAGCAATATATCCACCCTCCTAGAAGACCTGAACGTTCACGTGGCAAAAGAGTGAATTGTTGAGAACAATAATATAGTCTATAACAGCATATCATACTCATAAATTCAGCACCCTAGGCAAAAAGGGCAGAATGCTATCCCCACCACAGCTTTATCCTGGCCTACAATGCTCATTTGTACTTTCTTTCTTATATGAAATGAACTACACTTAGTTTGTTTTAACTTGATTTTTACAAACCCGTAAAGAATGCAAGAGATGCAGTGGGCCAGGAAGAAGTGAGAATGTTACCCTATGTGTGATTTATTCTAGAATCTGTCTAGGTTCAGCTCTATTCCTCGGCATCTTGATATGGAAAATTAAAAGGATTGCATGGTAACTTCCTTATGCACAAGTTTATTTGCCTAATTTAGCTCAGGAATATGACTCAATTACTAGCAACCTAAACATGCAATAAAGAAGGGAATCTCCATGTTGCTTATGCAAACATCTAGAGTCATATGTCACTTTGTAAGTAGACAAAATGTAGGGCATGTGGGTTGGACATGTCCACATGCTGCTTACTTTATCTGTCATTAATTTTTGTTGTGTAAATTCGCATCCTAATGACACAGCCCACTGTATTCATTCTGTGCCCTGTCTAGCCCCTTCACTTGCAGCAGGTAATGGCGTTTTTAAACATCATTTGATAATTTGCCTTCTTTAGAAAGTAATGCTTAAACTATTTAAGCAAAATTCCTTTTATCTGTTGATTTTAAAATATTATCTATATGGCCAGAAATTTAAAATGTTCAACATGTTTATTAAAACTTTGTAAGAGTAAAATATGTTCAATCTTCAGGAGGATCATTGTAGGAGCCAAATGACCCCCCTCACCCCCCAAAAAGATAATATTACTGTGAAAATGCAATGCTGAAAAGCTGCTTCTGGGATTATAAATATATCAATAAAACCACCCCTTTTCCTGTGCCCTTTCAGCATTAGCCATAAAATAGACTGGCCAGTAGAGGTTACTCTCAGCATTATGATCTAAGAGTGGTAGATTAGAGTTTGAAGACATAATGAATGGTAATTTAAAAAATAGCTATTATCATTGTGAATTCAGGCACAATACTCAGAATTCAGAGTTGGTGATAACTTGCTTTAAGCACTGTTTCAACAGCTTTTATCCTATTTATATGACTGTCAGGCATATTTCAGTAACTATTTTACTTAGCCTTGCTGATTATCTGTCCTTCATTAAATAAAATCCACAGGTCAAATTGTAAAGTAGCCTTTTAGTTCAATTTGGCATCTTTTTTTCCTGGGTAATATTCTCAGTCCCTGGGGTTTGAATTCCAGATATCTTTGAAAACAAAGCCTTATGTGAATGCAGTCAGAACTAACTCTTTAAAAGGCAAAAGCACAACCACCCTAAAGTAACTGTTGTCTTGTCAGGTGGCTCTTCAATTTTAGAAAATAAATTACTTTCAAAAAGGAGAAATTTAAAAAGGGAGAAAGAAATAATTAAGTCTCATGGACATTTGTCTTTGAGAGAGAGAAGATAAATAAAAGTAAGTGGTTTTATACATAGTTTTCATAAAAACAAAACAGAGAAGCTTTTTGTCAGAAGCTTAAATGGGTACAAATGAGCTCTGCTTATTAAAATAGGAAGGAAAGACTTCATTAGAATAAAATACTATCACCTCAAGAAGAAATATGTGTTACCAAGGTATGAAATGCAAAGTTACTAATTCAACATTTATTTATTTTGGTGACAGAGTCTCACTCTATCGCCCAGGTGAGAGTGCAGTGGCATTATCTTGAATCACTGCAGCCTCTGACTTTTGAGTTCAAGAGATTCTTGTACCTTAACTTCCTGAGTAGCTGGGACTACAGGTGTACACCACCATGCCTGACTAATTTTTGCATTTTCAGTAGAGATGGGCCTTGCCATGTTGCTTAGATGAGTCTCAAACTCTTGAGCTCAGGCAACCTGCCCACCTCAGCCTCCCAAAGTGGTAGGATTACAGGTGTGAGCTACCATGCTCGACCTACTTTAATATTTATTTTTTAAAAATCACGTTTGTTATGAAAGAGTTGTCAGAGAGTAGGAATCTTCAAACTGCTGGTATCTTGATGCATTCAAGGATGCTCAAGGATGTGTGGTGTGGTTCAGACCATTTTGGGCACATTGTAGCAGAAGGATGGCCCTTTGATGTCTAGGCAAGGGAACATTATGATAAATGACTTATTAAAATATGGCTAAAATTCTTTAGGCAGTTTGATATAGATGTTACTGTAGCTGAACACTGTCAAAGAAAGGACATAACTGGAGCAAAGTGCTAAGTGAAAAACATTTTTGAATAGACTGTCCTTAAGACTTCTTACCTGTTAAGACTCCTAATCTCTTCTTATGACATAATTACTGAAGAGGTCTGGAGGCCACACCTTGAAAAGAAAAGCACTTATCAGTTGTGATTGTCCTTTTTGTCACAGTTTTCTCCACCCAGCTAGCTTGCAGAGGAAACCAAAATGCAGTTAGTCATTTCTCTTTACTAACACTCAGTTCCTAAGTACTTAGCTTTAGAAGTCTTTTCTGCCTGTTTACTTCCATTTCTTGTGTGACATAATAATATTTTTAGGTCTTTACTTTTCTTCTGTTCAAAATTCTTATCTTCTAGTTTTTGTAAAGAAACTTAAGACACTATTTACTCCATGTTTGCTGGTACAGAACCAGTAAGTTTGCTCACCCACCCAAGTGATTCATTCTAAGCCAATTCTCCCATTAGGCATTTGTTGGAAATCTGCAAAAGTTGCTTTTATTTACTGATTAAACATTTCCCTTCCCAGTATAAGGATCTCCTTTGAGGATGAACATCCCCTTGGATTCCATAGGTTTTCGCTGTACAGAGAAGGCTTGACCTTAAGAAATTTAAGTTGCATTAAAATTTATTTTTTCTTTTAGAGAGGCAGTCACTCTGTTGCCCAGGCATTAGTGCAGTGGTGCAGTCATAGCTCACTGTACCCTCAAATTCCTGAGCTCAAGTGATTCTCCCACCTCAGCCTCCTAGAGCACTGGCATTACAGATGTGAGCCACCATACCTGGCCCAAACTTTTCTTGAAAAACACACACACACACACACACACACACACACACACACACACACACACA